AGGAACTCATTATCATAATGGGCCTCACCCAACAGCAGAAACTCATTAGCATATTAGGCCACATCCCTGATAGTGCAGCTTGTTAGCATATTAGGCCACACCCCCATGCCTTCCCTTGGCTTGCCTGGGCGCCCCGCAGCTGCAGGGAGCCTGGGCAAGCCGGCCCTTGGACAGGCATGGGGAGGCATTTAAATTCCTCCTCGATCTTTCCAGGGGCCCCCCGGCCCGCCCGCGTCAGAGCTGCCCGTAGAGGGGCGGGTCGCTCTCCAGGCCTTCCCTCTGTAGCCACACATGCAGAGGTTTCAGCTGTAGTGGGCGTGGCCAACTCTGAAACCACCCGGAACTCCGTTCCTGTGCGTTCCTGCCCAAAAATAGCCCTGAATAGGTGAGCTGTATGAAATTATTTAAGGTAGATAATTACAAACTAAAATATTGTTAAAATTTGGTGTATTTTATACTGTTTTGTTATCATTTATGTTGTAAGGCTCCTTGAGTTCCTATAGGTTCCTATAAGGTAGAAAGGTGGCTAATAAATGTTTCAAATAAATAAATATGGCCACTGATGGTGGGAGATTTCCCACCTGCCAACTCTTCAACTGTAGGTGGAAGAAAGAATATTTTAAAATCACTGTTTTACCATAGAGGTTCTGAAAATTCCTAGGGAAGACTGATGTCACTTCTGGATTGTCCTGGAAGTGATGTCACGCTGTTGCTAATGACCACCCCCCATGTCCCCGCCCCTCCTGATCTCCTGCTGGTTACCAAATCAGGGCTGGCAACTCTAGTTCTCCTGGAGGAAATGGCTGCATTGTTGGGTTGCCAGGCAACCAGTGAGAGACATCGGGAGCAGTGCCAGAGGGGATGCTGTTGCCAATGGCATGACACCACATCGAGGGGAAAACCAGGAAATGACATCACACTTTGTTAGGAATTGCCTCTCAGACATGAAAATACAATGAAGCATGAGCGTCAGAATTGAACACGTTGAGTAAAAACTGAGATTCTCGACAGGGTGATTTCTGCAGAACTACATTCCACAATCTTTTTTGCATTCTGACAAAATTGCAGATGTGCAGAGCCTTGGCATGACAGAAAGGCTTTGTTGTGTGCAGGCACATGATGGAAATGTTTATGACCCAGGCAGTCTAAGTTCTGTATTGGCATATACTGATTTAGCAGCATGTAATGTCACTGTCCTTTCCTGAATAATATTTTTAAATATCTTTGGGGTTTCTTTCTGAATGGAGGTTTCTGAATTGGAAACTAGGAAAGACTTGGAGATTACCATTCTTCTCTCTGCCTTCATAATGAGTAGAAACATACTTTTTTAAAAAGTCAGGTTGCCCCAATATTGAACTCCCATCAGAATGCAGGTTCCGTATGTATTTCTGTCCAACCCCATGTCAGAAATTTCCAAACTGTTTACTAAGGAATAAATTAGCTACGTAATTAGTCTCTTTCAGACTGTTCTCCATGGAACTGCCACAATTTTTTTTTAAATTTTCTTAAACAACAGGACTAAAGTAAGTTTCTAGTCCTCATGAAAAAGCCTCTAAAGCCTCCATGTTTCCGCCTTCCAAGCCTTGCAAACTGTCCTCCATGTTTGTCTTCCATGACTAGTATTGAATAAATTATGCAGAATATGCTAATATCTGTAGCTTTAGTGCCGAATTTTGTACCAGTTTGGTGTAGTGGTTAAGTATGCAGACTCTAATCTGGGAGAACCGGGTTTGATTCCCCACTCCTCCACTTGCACCTGCTGGACGACCTTGGGCAAGCCATAGTTCTGATAAGAGCTGTTCTTGAAAAAGAGCAGTTTCTGTCATAGCTCTCTCAGCCCCACCTGCCTCACAGAGGGTGTCTGTTGTGGGGAGGGGAAGAAAAAGGAGTTTGTAAGCCACTCTGAGACTCCCTTGGGTAGTGAAGGGCAGGGTATAAATCCAATCTCTTCTCTTCTTCTTCTACTACTATGAAATGCAGTATTTAAGTGGGCGTGGCCCTCCCATTAAGCACAAAAAGATCTGGTTGGGGCTCTACGAACATCTGGTTACCCATGGGTGACTTGCGGGTTCCTGTTTTTTGCCTTTCCAGTTGAATCTCAGCCTGCCCTCAAGGTGCCCTCATCCCTCAAGGAGTCCCAAGAAGGTGGAGCAATCGCTGTGGGTGAAGAGGAGGAGGAGGAGGAGGAGGAATTGGCAGCGGCAAGACTGGGTCCCTCGCAGAAACCCGCGGAAGCTGTCTCCATGCCGGCTGGTACCCCATCCCGCCGGGGTCAGCGCCGGAACTACCAGCCACGCTGGCGGGTGGAGTACTTGATGGACTATGACGAGCAACGGCACGGGCTGATCTGCATGGTTTGCGGGGGCACGCTGGCGACCCTGAAGGTCAGCACCATCAAACGGCACATCCTTCAGGTCCACCGTTTCTCGCTGGAGTACACGGCTTTGGAAAAACAGACAATCCTCGAAGCTTATGCTGAAAACGACCAGGCGCTGAATCTTGGCCGGCTGGTCCCCAGACCTGCGGCAAACCTTGACTCTGAGCCTCGGGAAGTCAAGCCGAACATCCAAGGAGCAGGGAAAATGGCGTTCGGTTACAATCTGCCTGTATGTACGGCGTAGCCATAGACTCACGCTACCCTGCAGCGGAAGCAGGGTGGGTTTTGTTGAACAAGGGGCAGGAGCTGTGTCTCTTCCACCCCGACCCCTTTCCATGAACTCTACAGACTTCTGGAATTCTACATTTCAAAAGCTGGGCAACTGGATCAGGTTGTGCAGAAGCCAGGAACAGTTTGTTTGTCTATCTGCAAAATGGTGATTTAATTTGCATGTTCTGTTCCGACGACAAGAAATTTATGGGGGTTTTGGAATTTTTCTTTTTTTTCTTTTACTCCAAGAATTGGAGGTCGAGGGAAAGGGAGGGGTTAGGATGAAGCAGTAATGGTGTATCAATTCGTGGTGGCGCTGGGTGGTGGCGGGAAGTGCGTTTAAGTCGCACCTGACATACGGCAACCCTGTAGGACAAGAGGTGAACAGAGGTGGTGTGTCATTGCCCGCCTCTGCGTACCAACCCAGGCCTCCCTCGGCGGTCTCCCGTCCAAATTCTGACCAGGGCCGACCAATGCTCCCTTGAAGCTGTGGAGTCTTGTGAGCAAGAATTCTACTTTGTGAGTTACTGGCATTAAAGTTGTGAGCGAGCAATTTGGCTGCTCTATAAATGAGTTTGCTCTGAAGCCATCCTTCCCGAGCGCAGACAAAAAATATCTGAGCCGGAGGCTAAAATACTGAGCTAGCTCACACTAACTCAGCTTAGAGGGAGCACTGGGGCCGACCCAGTTTAGCTTTCGAGATCTGATGAAAGTGGGCTACTAGTCAAGCAAAAATGGAAGGGTTTGTGTGGGGAGCCCAAAAGTTCCCGGGTTCAATCCCTGGGGTCTCCCATGAAAAGGGACAGCCAGTGTGCGATGTGAAAGACCTCCCATTGCTGATCCAACCTGGATAGACGAATGGCCTAATCCACTACATGACGGTAGCCAGGTAGGGCTTTCCTGGGTGAGTCACCACAAATTTGTAGTCAAAGGTCCCCTGCACTGCAACCAAACTTGCATAAACAATGCTTACTTTTGTGCAGGGCTTTTGTTGTAGAAAAAGCCCAGCAGGAACTCATTAGCATAATAGGCCATACCCAACAGCATGAACTCATTCGCATATTAGGCCACACCCCGACAGCACAGCTCATTCGCATATTAGGCCACACCCCCATGTTACCAGAAGTGCGGTCATCCAGCCACACCCACCTATTGCTTCTTATTCTCTTTACCTTGTTTGTTGTCAAAACCCAGGGCTTTTTGCATGTTAGGCCACATGCCCCTAATTGTAGCCAATCCTAATGAGTTCCTGCTGTTGGGTGTGGCCTATTATGCTAATGAGTTCCCGCTGGGCGTGGCCAACTTGAGAGCCAGCCGGAACTCTGTTCCTGTGTGTTCCTGCCCAAAAATAGCCCTGCTTTTGTGGCAGGTTTTACTCCCTTGGAGGCTAGATTCAGGTGGGTAGCTGTGATGGTCTGAAGCAACAGAAGAAAATTTAAGTCCAGTGGCACCTTGAAGACCAACAGAGTTTACTTCTGGGTATTAGCTTTTTTGTGCATGCATTTTGGGGCAGGAACGCACAGCAACGGAGTTCCGGCTGGTTCCTGAGTTGGCCACGCCCAGCAGGAACTCATTAGCATGATAGGCCACACCCAACAGCAGAAACTCATTAGGATTGGCTACATTAGGGGTGTGTGGCCTAACATGCAAAGGAGTCCCTGCTCCAAAAAAAGGCCCTGGGTTTTGACAACAAACAAGGTAAACAGAATAAGAAGCAAAAGGTGGGTGTGGCTGGATGAGCACACTTCTGGTAACATGGGGGTGCGGCCTAATGTGCTAATGAGCTGTGCTATCAGGGTGTGGCCTAATATGCTAATGAGTTTCTACTGTTGGGTGTGGCCTATTATGCTAATGAGTTCCTGCTGGGCTTTTTCTACAAAAAGAGCCCTGCTAAACTTTGTTGGTCTTGAAGGTGTCAGTGAACTCAAACTTTGTTCCCTCGGATGCTGTATGACATGGGTCCCCAGGGCAGTGCCTGTGGGCATCATCAGCACTTGTCAACACCTTTCCTGGTGCCCTCCAAGCGCTTTTAGAAAGTGGATGGAGCTAGGTGGAGTTCCCCCCCCCAGGTAGGGTTGCCAATCCCCAGTTGGGGGCAGGTGATTTGGAGGCTCCCCCCCCACTTCAGGGTTATCAGAGAGCGAGGGGGGGGGAGGAAATGTCTGCTGGGTGCTCCATTATACCTTATGGAGAGTGGTCCCATAGGGTATAATGGAGAATCGATCCGTGGGTATCTGGGGCTCTGGGGGGGGGGGCTGGTTTTTTTGGGTAGAGATGCCAAATTTTCAGCATAGCATCTGGTGCCTCTCCTCAAAAAGCCCCCCAAGTTTCAAAAAGATTGGACCAGGAAGTCTAATTCTATGAGCCCCAAAAGAAAGTGCCCCCATCCATTATTTCCAATGGAGAGAAGGCATTTAAAAGGAATTATTTAAATGTAATGGACAAAACTCCCTTTGGAGTTCAATCGTGCTTCTTCCCTCCCCTCTCCTGGAGGCTCCTGGAAAGTCCTTCACCAGTTTGTCAGTCTCACCTGGCAACCCTAAATGGTACCAGTGTGTGTGGCTCGGGTGGAGAATGAGTTGAGAGCAGCCACTGTGTTAAAAGCACAGGCTCCTACCGTGGAATCACAGGAACCTTCTGGATTGGGGGGTGGGGTGGGGGATGGACCTGGAAGAGAAATCACAGGATGTGACATTACAAAAGTGATGTCACATCCTCGCTCCTGGCTCCACCCCCAAAGTCTCCGGATATTTCCTGAGTCCGACCTGGCAACCCTATCCCTGGCCCGGCTTCTGAATGGCTGTGCAGATTATAAGGTGTCCTGTTTAGGGTTGCCAAGTCGTACCTCGTCCTGAAGTGGGGGACTCCCGTGTCGATCCCGGTACGTGCGACCATCCGAGGGAAAACCACAGAGTTTCCCCTCGGATGACCGTGGCCCCGCCCCCTACATGCTCGGCGTGGTCGCGTCACTTCCTGGTGACGTGCACATTGGGGTGGAGTCCCCCCCGGGGCCCAATCCGGTGGCGGCGGGGAACGGACCTCTGGGACGGGGGTTTCCCCGCCCCCCGGGGGGACTTGGCAAGCCTAGTCCTGCTAAACAGAGCTTCTGCCGGAAAAGCTGGAGAGTTCCCATTAGGGTTGTATATAACTTCAATCCCTGACATTTTATGGTTGGATCTGCCTCCTGCAGCAGCCATTTTGCCATTGTGCCCACCACCCTTTGTCCGAATTCCAAAGCTGTCTGTGGGCTCAAAAAGGTTGAGGACCCCTGCTGTACGATGGGGTCTATTGTATTTACCTTCAGCGAGCTGCAGGCGTAGAAGAGTTGTCCCCCCCTCCATTCAGAAGGCTTTCCCCCTTCTTCACATGGACTCTGCCTTCTGGAATCCTACGCCGGCCTTCCAGTTCTCTTATGCAGGGCCAGCCTGAATTCTCTCAGTCTGAGTGAGAATGGCTGTTTGTCAGCTGGTTTGAACAGGTCCTGGCCAGCCATCCAAGCAGTTAGCCTGAAGGGCAGGAAAGGAAGAAGAGGTTGGATTTATACCCCGCCCTTCACTCAAGAGTCTCAGAGCGGCTTACATAGGGTTGCCAAGTCTGGCAAACTTACCGGCGGGGGAGGCTCCGACGAGTCCGGGAGAAGGTCCGTATGCGCGCCGCCGCCGCCACATCACCAGAAGTGACGTGCGACGTTGCTGACATTGGGGGCATGGCTGAGCTCGTCGGGGGGAAAACGCCCCCAATGTCAGCAATGTGGCCGCGTCACCTCTGGTGACGCAGCTTTGGGGGGCAGAGTCCCCCCCGGGGCCCGATTCCGCCGTGGCGGAAATCGGGTCTCCAAAGCGGGGGTTTCCCCGCCCCCCGCCCACATTTGGCAACCCTAGGTTTACAACCTCCTTCTCTTCCTCTTCCTACAGCAGACACTCTGTGAGGTAGGTGGGGCTGAGAGAGCTCTGAGACAACTGCTTGGGATAACAGCTCTGAGAGAACTAGTGACCCGCGTTCCCTCTAGGCTGAGTTAGTGTGAGCTAGCTCACAGTTTTTTTAGCCTCCGACTCACACATTTTTGTCTTAGCTCCAGAAGGACGACTCCAGTGCAAACTCATTTATGCAGCAGCCAAATCGCTCGCTCACAACTTTCGTGCCAGTAGCTCACAAAGCAGAATTTTTGCTCACAAGGCTCCACAGCCTAGAGGGAGCATTGCTTGTGACTGACCCATGGTCACACCAGCAGCCGCGTGTGGAGGAGAGGGGAATCAAACCCGGTGCTCCCAGATTAGAGTCCGCACTCCTAACCACTACACCAAACTGGTTCTCAAAAAGGACTTCACTCCAGTGGTCGCTTGCAGAATTCTTCTTCCGGCTCAGAGTTTGAGATCTCCTTCGCTCCCAGTCTATAGCTTGTATGTGTATAGCTTCCTCATGCATCACAGATGTCAACCGCTTGAGGAAAGCTGGAAAAACTATTGCTATATTGTTGCTGGTGACTCATGACCCATCCCAGAGGGATCCCATTCCTTTGCAAAGCTAGATGCCTGACACTTGATCGGGGATAGCTGCTCCAGCGCATGTGTACAGGTGCCATTAAGTCACAACTGGTTTACGGTGACCCCATCGGGTTTCCAAGGCAAGAGACATTCAGAGTTGGTTTGCTGTTGCCTGCCTCTGCTCAGCGACCTTGGATTTCCATGGTGGTCTCCCATCTGAGTACTAACCAGGGCTGACCTTGCTTAGCTTCCAAGATCTGATGAGACTGGGGTAGCTTGAGGCCATCCAGGTCAGCACCATGTGTGTTCCATCAAATCACAACCAACTCATGGTGACCCCCCCCCCAGGGACCATGGGGTTTTTGAGGGGAGATGATTAGAGGTGGTTTTCCATTGCCTGCCTCTGCATAGTGACCCTGGACTTCCTTGGTGGTCTTCCATCCAAGTACTAACCAAGCCTGACCCTGCTTAGCTTCCGAGATCTGGAGAG